TAAATCATTCAGGTAATAATAATAATAATAACATTCAAGAATAAAACGATATAAGCTACAGCAATCTGCACCTACAAATAGTACTAACCCTAACCTTCAATGTGATAACTCGGAGTGTTAAAGTATATAGAGCATTGAACGATTTCATAGTGGTGGCTTTTCTCACTCCAGCAGGTAAATTGTTCCAGAGAAGAAAGTCACCACCATAAGTAAAAGTTTTGTTAGGACAATGGCACTATGTTTCTTAGATTATAACTGTTAATTTTGCTGCGATTAGTAAATTTTGACGAAATTTTTAAAGTTTTAAACATTAATTGAGCTTTGGAAAAGGCCGTTTGTTTTTCTTGTGGCACCCATCCCAAAGGATCAAATATATCTTTAGTGCGTGTATCATAGTTCGAAAAGGTTATTACAGTATTCGTGTGCGGCGCGATTTTGAAGTTTGCTCGCTAAACCTTTACGACATCCATCCCAWACCGCACTACAGTATTTAAAGTGAGGCTTGATAATGGCATTGCAAACAAGATAAGTGTAACCCTAGATACGAAGCATCTGATGCATTTCAATGAACTTGCGATATAGACTGCATATTGGTCTTCCAAACTTAGATTCTTGTCAATTGTCACCCCGAGAGATCTAGCTGAGGGAAGCCCGAGTAATCTAATTGTCATTAATGATCAAAAGAGGTGTAATGGAAAACCAGATAGTCACTATCGAGATCCAATGAGCAGACCCTAATAAAAAAGTCTTACTATTGGCGGTTCTTGTTATAATTCATGTAATTTTATGGGGTTCTTCGTTTTGTAGGGTGCCATGGCTTACTTCTTTTCATTTGTGAGGAGAAAARTTAACTTATTTTTACGCTTTTTCCACTCATTTCTCAAATCCCAGCTACGCAAGTCCCYAAGCCACGAAATTTTTGATTCTTCGAAGATTTTACTCAGCTTATACTATCCGAATCCCCGTYGGCTGGGAAGTGAGTATATTTATTTACAGATGATTATCTCTTGATGTGCTGAGTAGTAGACCAACAGTAAGCTAATGCAGCCACTCCTAGCCTGCGTGCAGGCGTTCCTCGTTGGGGGCGGAGGAACGCCTGCACGCAGGCTAAGCCACTCCCAAATGAAGGTGTGGGGCGAGTTTCGCGTTGTCTTTTACCGGATGTAATATGACCTCCTTCAGCAGTCGCCCCTCACGCACCTATAATACTCCCGTATAATACTCCGCGTTTGATTACCCTGGTCCCAGAGGTTTTCTTTAATTCTCTTCTTTTATAGATGTTTTTTCATCGTATTTTTGTCTTTGTTTTTTAAGTCTTACTGACAGCTCAGATTTAAAAATAATACATTCCCCGTGCATCTACTGGTTGAAATCTATCAAGTCATTGTATTTTGCTATTCTTGTCTATTTCATGATTAACTATATCTTAAAATTCCATGAGACTTACAGGCGAGAATAGCCTCGTTCCTAGGATAAACAATAGAATAAACAATCAATTTACCGAATAGATTTGAGGCTAGTCCTCATGTACTGTAATTTTAAAAGCTGAGTCAATTGAACATATGGATAATACAATTGTATACTGTAACCGTACAGCATGAATAAAAAAGGCAAGTTAATTACGAAAAGAGCTACTATGAATGATCCCGTGAATTCTTTTCTCATGTTTCGTTGATCAAACTTACAGTTATTTTAAAGAAGTCCTACTGTAGCCGCCTGATTCAAACAAGGTAAATTTCCGGTACGGAGTTTTCACACTCTTAGCCTCAAAAACGCTGTTTTTGAATAACTGCTCAAAATGAGTGCTTGTTAAGCAAAATAAAGAAAATACAGAAACGGATGTGCTAACCTGCGTCTGCTACAAGCTAGAATGTGCAAAAAGCACCCGGGGGGGGGGGGGGGGGGGTACTCCCCCGAAACTTGGAAACTTGGGTGGGGGTGTGCCGCTGGGACCTCAAAACCCTGAACCTGTTCCAGAGTGAAATTGCTGAAAACTATACCCGGTTCCAGAGTAAAATCGCTGAAAACGATACCCTGTTCCAGAGTAAAATCCTGCACTAGCTTGCGTGTAGACCGAATTTTTACTCCATGAATTTTTATCCACCATCAATAATTCCGGAATTCAACCCTGACCCTGTTCCAGAAAAAATTCGTTGAAATCGATACCCTGTTCCACAGTAAAATCGCTGAAAACGATACCCTGCTTGGCGGCACAAAACAACAACACAACATCGCACAACTAGAGAACATGCGTGACAAAACTGTGGTCACGCTAGAAAAATGGCTCTCTTTGAGATAGAACAGAACCTGTCAAAAATACATAAACATTTTCGAAATTTTCACACTTTTATGAGGCCTTGTAAGCAACACTCAATAATGTTTATCAACGAACTAGTAAAGAGAGAGGTTGGAGAAAAGTTCCAAACCCCGTTCCAAATGTCTGAGCAATTTTCAACAATGTTCAGCTGTTGCCGGACCCCACCCTAGAATGCTGTTTGGGATGGTCGCTGCGAGAGTATCTGTGAGATGATCATTATACTGCTTAGTTTAGTTTAATTCTTACGTTTTTCCACTGTTTATTGATGGGACTTCGAAAGATCAAAGTATATTAACGTGTGTGTCGACGGATCAAAATAAAATAAGTAATTCTACTAACAAACTAGCTTCACTCCCAGCTATATCCGCACGTTGACATCAGGTGATGTCATTGACAGGAAATTTAGTGACACAAGATGGATTTGACTTGAATAGAGCTAGCGACCTCATGGCTGACATTGAGCTTTTGTGAAGAAACGCACGAGTTCCTTTAGCTAACCTTTGACCTGCATTGACGCAAGATGGACACGTATGACTAGACTAGAGTCATACCGAAAGTGACAGAACTATTGAAGCTATTGTAGTAACAACATCTCTTTGTAGATTTAGTTTGTAGTTTTAGAGACGAAAATGGGAAGAACAGAACATCAAAAACATTCCCGGGAGAAGCTGAAAGGTGAGACAAATTAACAGAATTACTTATTGTAGAACAACCGACCCGTTCAAATAGACTTGGCAGCGTGTGAGTAATCAGTCTATACAACACAGATTACAATGATACTTAATATTCTTTAAGTGATTTCTCGGGTGAGACAAACTACTGTAACTTCAGCCAAATTTATTTGTACAAATTAATTCGTAGCCAAGCCAAATTAAAGAAGCCTTAAGCATGAAGGCTTTTCGAATATCAACATTTCATCGCACTATTAAGTACTTTGTCGAGGTTTCTATTCTTTYGAATTACTGATTTTCTATTTAAACAGTATCTAACTAATTTCTGTTTAAAAATGTTTCTAATGTCTAGTCCATATTTATTTTTCCGCTAACACTTTTAAGCGACATTTACTCCCATTTTCACTAAAATAAGTTTCTCTGCTCACCTCACAATATGAAGAAAGTCATTCAATTCATGTTGGAAACTAATAATTGCCCGGTATACTTACGGCCCCAAAACGATTACTGAATGTTAACGTTTTTCCTGCTTTGATTTAAAAGATGCTTATTTGTAAGGTATTAGGACTAGCCGTACTTGGGCTGGACTTTCATTATTTTAAAGGGACCCTCTACTTCTCAGAAAGTTGAACTTATATTATGTAGAATTTAACGCTGATTTCGAAAATCGTATTAAAAATTTTGAGAAATATTTAGTAAGCTAATTAAAGCGATTTTAATCTCATAAAAAAAAATCGGTTTGGGCACCCTGTGCTGTCGTGACGTCATATCGTGACGTCAGGTCGTGGTCGTGGTTTGTTTTGACAAGAAGGAAACCTATAATCGTGTCCTTTTCCCGGGCTTTTTATTTCTTTAATTATGGCTATGCATTTTCAATTCGAGCTCGAATATGACGACAATGAGTTAACAGATCAATAAGACAGCTTTGTTCACGAAAAAGAATCGAGTGAAGAATATAATATGGCAGAAAATTCGGAAGAAGTATCGTGGTGAATGCGGGCTGTGTGCGAAGATTGAAACAACTGAAATGTGTGTTTTCTGTATCGATTTCGTATTTAACTGAAGCAAATAAAAAAGGAATGAGTAAAAGTAAGCTCTATAGAATGTTAATAACTAGCGGTCGTTTCTTCTATAGATGACTCTTGCGTACACTGTATCATATCAAACGAACCACGAAAGTTTCGAGCCTGTCCGGGACTTTCTCTGGACTGCAGTGTCACTTCATGATAGAGAAAGTGCACATCTGCCTAAACCAAATACCCATGTTTCCACCATGTAAGCTGTCTTTAAGCAGCATATCGAAAGGATCTAAAAGCTAAAAGACAAATTATGAAACTGTTTGTACGACAGACTTTGGAGTACTACTCATGGTCACGTAAAGCCGTGGGTCTTGAACCTTCCAAACCGTATAGCACGACAAATTACATCCAAAACAAAATAACTTAATTTGATCTATACATATTTTCTTGGTTATTCACTCCTTGTGAATTTTATTTGCTTTGGGACTTTGGGCAGATTTACATAAGTGCAGTCCAGAGAACGTCCCGTACTAAAGCGTAAACAAACAGCCTCGCAAGCGCGAGCATTCGTGTTTCGTTACTCAAGAGTCATTTAAAGAAAATAGATTGGTATTGATAATATAAAACATTCTGTAGTGCTTACTTTTACTCATTCCTTTTTTATTTGCTTCAGTTAAATACGAAATCGATCCAAATCTTTACTTAAAACACACATTTCAGTTGTTTCAATCTTCGCACACAGCCTACATTCACTACGATACTTCTTCCGAATTGTCTGCCATATTATATTCTTCACTCGATTCTTTTTCGTGATCAAAGCTGTCTTATTGATCTGTTAACTCACTGTCGTCATATTCGAGCTCGAATTGAAAATGCATAGTCATAATTAAAGAAATAAAAAGCCCGGGAAAAGGACACAATTATAGGTTTCCTTCTTGTCAAAACAAACCACGACCACGACCTGACGTCACGATATGACGTCACGACAGCACAGGGTGCCCAAACCGATTTTTTTTTATGAGATTAAAATCGCTTTAATTAGCTTACTAAATATTTCTCAAAATTTTTAATACGATTTTCGAAATCAGCGTTAAATTCTACTTAATATAAGTTCAACTTGCTGAGAAGTAGAGGGTCCCTTTAACTAATAACGACATCACAATTTAACAGGAAATTTTGAACCGGAAGTAACACATTCCATTCCAACTCCGGAGGTAACGCATTTGACTCAGGAAGTGACACAAGCACTGGGCGCTGCAAAGGTATCTCTCAAAGGATATGATATGAAATTGTTAAAATATGAGGAAATGGAATGCTTTGGTGGTTAGGCCAGGGAACATCACTAACTTTTCTCCTCTTTCACTAATTTATCAATCCCTACTCCATGGCAATGATAATATTTTATATAATGCCATACACCTAAATAGACGGTCATTGTAAGGATGGTTGGATTGAATGTTCGTTCGTTTGATTGTAATTGCAGGGTGGTTCCTTTTCGGAAAAGCTCAAATCGTTATCCATTCACAGCATACACAGAAAACAGGCACTTTGTACGTGGATCGAAAGAGAGMATTCAATGTACGACATGAAACACACTAACCAATTGGTTAACAACAGTTTAGAATTCAGTCGCAAACTCATGGACCTTGCTAAAATTAGAAAACCTTTAAAACGAAAGAGACCAGCTCAGCAAGAGTTACCAGACTGTTCCCATGGTGATTCAGCAGCGTGCGTTCATCGGAGAAAAACCGCACAACAAGAAGAAAAAGAGCAAGACTTCAGCGGACGGCTTATGGGATTAACGGTTAGGAAGAAGCGGTTCGATCCTTATGAGCATGCGCATTGCTGTCGATGCGTTCAGAGCTTCGAGTGCTTTTGGCCGAGACCTAATCTTCTTACTATAAGAATGCAAGATTTAGATAGGCTTGAAGGTCATAATTCGTAGGATTGTGTTCAGCTATGTTGCGTCATTGCTAATTATACAATAGAGTAGTTGAATCSAGGGCMTTATGCTGTGATATTTGTCCGCGGAAAACTGGATATTAACAACAAATAGTCGCCCGAGAATGCAGAGATGTCAACGGCTCTATTGTTTTTATTGTTCAACAACAATTTTTTTGGGAAGCGGTGTGCTCTATCGCGTCACGTGGTCGGCTCCCCACCAATGAGAGAGGAGGAAAATCTATTGCTGAATTAGAATTAATGATAAGTCGTTCTGCATGGAACAGTCTTTGATTGTATTGAATAGATTCCATGCTAAGTATTCGTTGGATACACTATTCAACAAAGCGCGATTCACACTGGTGTTTAAATTAATAATGTATCAATCTATTGGAATTAGTGTGTTACTTGCTTTATGACATAACATCTGATTTTACTTGCAAATGGTTCTCAATGAAAAAGTGGAGAAGAATCAATTCTTACAAGAATGTATCAGTTTCCATCAGGTTTCCTTTATTTACAAAGTACTAAAGATAGCTGGCTTGCATTGTATCCTGGTACCTAGCTAGAACACGCAATGCCACATTATTTCAAGACATATTTATTAATTATTTATTTGAAAAAGAATATATTTATATCTTATAATTTACATGTAATCAATCCCATATTCAAGGTTTATAAAAGTATCATTTATAATATGCTAATTCCTCGTTTTGTAGCTTTGATTGACTGGAATCTCCTGACTTCATCGTAAGATCTTTGACAGGAAATCTGATATCAAATTGAAACATATTGAGAAGGAAGGAAAATTATCACAGTGACGTTATTTCATTTTATGTTTCACATACAATTTTCAGCAATCCTGGCTCAAACTTATCGAGTCGGCTTATCTCTTCCTTTCTGCTCTTCTTTCTATTCTTCCTTGGGCTTACTGATCCTTCTTCTTTTTCCCCCGCTCGGCAAAAAAGGACACCAGAGAGTCACAAGTTTATTAGCCTTAGTTTTTTAGAGTGTCTCTACTTTCACATTCCCCTCTGTCATGTGTCTGGTCTTTAGTATTGTCATTTTGATGATGCATCAGAGTGTCTAATAAGCTGAGAGCCTCGATCATTAAATATATGAACCTAATAAGACACATAGAGAGCTTCATTAAATATATGAACCTAATAAGACACATAGAGAGAGTATGTAGATAATCATGAGTAAATATGGAATCCCAGAAAAGATTACTGAAATGGTTAGAGTATTTTATGAGGATTTTGAGTGTGTTGTTGAAGATCAAGGAGAGACGTGCAGTAAAGACAGACGTTAAACAGGGATGTAACCTTCTAGGATGAACCTTCTAGGATTAGCGCAAGCTAGTTAGGAGAGTAATTAACTAAGAACATGTCAGGGTTCCTATTCTTGATTGTGAGAGACTGGATCATGAAAAGATCAGTTGGCCAAGGTGAGAATGGCATCAGATGGAAATTTTCACCTAAATTAGATGATTTAGATTTTGCGGACGATATAGTCCTTTAATCTCCCACTAGAMAACAGCTACAAAACAAAACGACAAAAATTGACACGGAAGCCAAAAGATTAGGACTTAAAGTGAATATAGACAAGACAAAGATAATGAAAATGAATGCAAAGGATCAACAGGAAATAACCATACATGAAAGAGTCATTGAAGAAACAGCGGAGTTTACTTATCTTGGAGCTAAAGTTTGCAAAGATGGTGGAGGAATAAGAGATTTGARGAACAGAATTTCAAAGGCAAGAGGTTCATTTATTAGGTTAAGAAAAGTTTGGAGATCTAAAATTATCACAAGAAGAACTAAGCTCAGGCTCTATAAGACCATAGTGGTGCCGGTATTTTTATTCGGCTGTGAAACGTGGAAAATGAATAAAAGTGATAATAAAGAAATTGACGTGTTCCAAAACAATTGTTTATTAAGGATCATATTAGCACAGAAGAACTACTTAAACGGGCAAAGACAGAACCTCTAAGTAAAGTAATAATGAGACCGAAATGGCAATTAATAGGGCACATACTTAGGAAAGATTGAGCGAAGAGATGATTGCCTTGACATGAGGGAAGAAGACGCAAAGGCAGGCCGAAAACAACATGGCGTCGGACAGTTATAAAGGAAAGGGAGCTATTAGGATTTGGAACGTGGGAGGAAGCGAGGGCAGTGGCAGCGAACCGGGAGAAGATCGATAAAGGACTTATGCGCCACTTGGTGCGAAACAGCGCGATGAATAAKACACGAAAAACACCACAACCGGCTGTGTAAAGTATATAGCTTATTGACCTGGTCCCACACACATATATTGCCGGATATGTGATCTAACGCATGCGCATGCAAGTTTTTCTGGACCTTTTGTCCTGAGACCAACAGTTCAACGGAGCGGGCTAGCTGAAAAGGGTCTGAGACTGGACAACAGCCATGGCAATAAAATGTTTTTGGTGACTACAAGTCGGTTGACTTTTGAATTTATTTTATCCATTGAATTTACTCATTCCACTAAACAATGTAAAACCACGCCTATTGTTTTCTATTGTTTGATTAGCTACCATTAAGTTGAGTTCCACCAATGCATAGAAGGACGGCGTTTATTGATTAAATCGACATAGCCCTTTACAGTTACAAACGTACCTGATCAACATGGTTCGCGTCATTTGATACGGAATGAGCTAATATATATAGTCATGTTAAATCAATGTTTGTCTTCTTCAGTAGAATTAACGTGCGCATCTCGTCTTGGTGTCGTATTTTCAAATCATGATATGTATTGATAAAGTCTTGGTGAAAGACGTCTACCATTTTTCTCAGTGTTGAAGTGTAACCATGTAGTGAAACAAGTCGTTCTGTCGATAGAATTTAAAGGTCATTCAACAATTATTGAACACTGAAAAATCTCGTATGGAAACTAATATTAAAAAAAACCACAGCACATAAACCTCTGCAGCTAACTTATATAATCTAAATTCATAAACGTTTGTTTTTGGATGTTGAATGCATTGTGCTTATAGTTTTACAAGGTTTCGTGAGTATCATTGGATGGCGTCATCATCAGGTTTGGCATATATGGAGTATTACGTTATGCGCACTGGATCGAAGTGTAGCAACACTAGAAATTCAMAAGTAAATAGGCAAAGCTAAAATTGTATCTATTTTTGGAATTTAGCCATGACAAACCTGCTTGCACTGATGAGGATGTCTTACAGATTTTGTTRGAAGCCCAAAAACCAATCACAACRAGCACGACAAGTAGACCTGACAGCAATGACATTACGAGATAATACAAGTCGTTCTCTGGATCAAGAAAGTCAATTTGACGTCCGACTGACTCCATTAATGCACCTCTCTAAAAAACAACAACAACAACAACATATTAATAGTTTTAAAGGGATATATGGCTGCCTTGTATGCGTGGTTTTTACAATTTTGTAACCTCTTAGCTTTTTTTTACCTGCAATGTGTGGTCACTATCCATCTCCTTAAAAAATCCCATWGCATTCATGTCTTCAGTCAATGCACTAGTTTTCAAAAGTTGTACAAATGACTTAGCTTTGCCACCAACTAAAACTCCATAGGTAAACTCTTGATTGATCATYTTTTTCCTGGATTTGTTGAATAAATGTCTGTAATACCAAGCAGTATGAAGGTCAACGAGAACTGCATCAATGTCGCCGAGTACAAACGCTTTGTGCAGGGACTGCATGTTGCTGTATGATAATGCTAAAAAAAGATAACGGTTAGTTCTCTTAGTATTAAAGGGTCATAATCATCAATGTTCGTTTATGTCGTGAAAACTAAAATAAATCGTGAAATCAACAGAAGATTACATTTAATTATCCCTTTATTGTCTATGAATGGAGAAAKTCCCTCTTCAGAAATCGACGGATGGAAGCGGAAGTGTGAGGTATCCTCAATATGTATATGAGAAAGACACGACTGCAATGCATGCCGGTTTGTGTTGGTCCTTTAATGCTTAAATCTAACAGTTGCATTGGTACKTTKTTATTGACAACTTTGCATGCGAAAATGCCATGCATGAAATCTCGCCTTATATTTATTCATSAATTGCTTAGCGTTGATTGAGCTACATGTATATTACTGACTGTTCAATGATACAACCCAAAAGACTATATAACGCATTTTGGCTTCTTGAAAATATTAGTTTGTAGCATTGRATTATATTATTGAATACAAGTATATTTCACCTGGATATTTGTTGACAGATATTTGATWAGCTTTTCTTTGCTCATAAGAGCCGTCCAGTGCTGCAACCTGATATTCCGTATTAAAATGTTATTATAATGTTAGAAATAAGCCGTAACCACTCAAATTAATCAGTAGTTATAGAAGTGTCTGTTCTGCAACATAACCGAGATAGATCGCTTAGCAGCTTTTACGGGTGCACCTTGATAACTACTGTAGTGCTGATGACTAACAGATTAATTACTTCACTTACATAATATAACTACAGGGAAACATCCAGGTACACTATATGATACAAATCATTTCAGGACGCATCAAGGAATCCTTAGAGTCACAGATGTCGTTCTTACCCTTAATCCTGCATCAACGATGACATTTTCCATTACAACTGTTACTATCAAAGATGTCGTTAAGGCGCTTGTTAATAGCGAGATGAGAACGATTCCAATCAAGGACCAAACTACTGTAAGAACTCGTCCAGCACAYGACTTTGGAACCCGATCACCATACCTAAAAACAATAAATGATTGCCATAGAGGATATTACGTGGCCGCTTGGAAATACTAATTTTATCTTCTCGTACTCAATTGATATCTCAAGAGTGAGCGTATAGCCTTGCTGTTCAGTAGATAATTATTACTCGGGGTTCCTGTGGAACCGCCGAGTTTAGGTTTCGGCCTTCTTTGTCGCATTTGGTACACAAATTGTCTCGGCCAAATTAGAATGCACTGGGTACGAATCACGTGACATTCACAACTTCCATGTGCTATCTTATGGTGTCGTCGAGGTGTCGTCTTTATACGAGATGGAAGACATGAATTCAACTTCAAACATGCTCAAATCTCTTACAAATCCACACACCATTCGNTAAAATTGTGATATTTATATTACTGCATATCATGAATTGTCTATCAAACTAGCTACCCATCTTATCAAAAGCGAATTATATAGTAAATATATGGCAAACACGCAAGTGTAAACGAGCCTTACAAAATTCACTACTATTTTATCAACAAGAACCCCGAGTTTACGCAGTTATGCGTCTAGTTCGTTTTCAATTCGGGATTTCTCATTTAATAGTATTAAAATTGTTCATCCTCCAAAATGGTCTCGGTCTTTTATCTTTTGAATCTCATGGGAAAGACTGAAAACAATGCAAAACCGATTTAAAACGACTCATGTGATATTTTATAGCTATCAATATTGACTATTGGTTATGATATGATGAAGAGAATCAGCTTTCACATTTCAGTCACGTGATGCTAGTGTTCCTACCGATAATTAAATGTCGCGGCAAATAGCCCTTTTGAGAGCTCCTTGAGCAGTTACGTTTAGCAATGCTTAATGTATGCTCTATGTATTGATGGTTTTCTCACACATATCAAATAGAGTATGGAAGCACTAAATCCGTGAAACAAATCACTAATTACTATTAATAGTGTTGGTGAGACAATGGCATAATATAGCACCTTATGTTTTACACTATTGTTGGTTCACGTGATATTTAAACGTTTAGACGACAGCTTTGACTCCAATACAACAATACCATTGCTATCATTGATAGAAATTGCATACCCGATAGTTGTCATAGTAACAAAAGACCACCAGAATGATTCCTGAACGCCCTTAACAAACGATACAGGAAAGTGGGCTTGATTCTGAGAGGAGTCCTACAAATGTGCAAGAACCTTCGATGAGATTGGTAGGTGCAGTAGGTATCACTACAGATCAGGTCAATAATTCCCGATATTGATCAGTGTATCAGTTTTTTAATGTTTTTTTTTTATGTCAATCATACCACAAGCCATATTAGAATTCCCGCCAACAAAGCCATAGAAATGTTGATAGCTAATAACGGCCAACACTGGAACACGGACCAAGCTAATGTCTGTGCGTACAYCATGGCCGACTTTTCCTTTCGAAAGAGAACAAACCCAGGTACCTAAAAATAGCATCACTACGTCATTAGGGTTGTCATAATATCAYCAACATAATCACCAAGTTTGTCATTCCCGATATAATGGCCATAATCATCACATCATCACCTTAATAAGTGGTAAATAAGTGAAACCAAGGGGAGAATCATCGTCGCTGCTTGGAAGTAAAAAGTCTGCGCGTTCTTGCAGCAATTTTGATCGATTACAATATTCGTACTTGACTTTATACGGTATACATGAGCTATCATGACAAACGTTTTTAATGAGGCGTGTCAGTGATTTGACGATGAGACCGGAGGGTGTAAGATTGTATCTTGGTATCACATAAGGTGGTTTTACCAACAACCGAATATCGAACCTCTTTGGACAAGGACAATCAGTCGGCTCTGAAAGAATACAGACAAGAGAGTAAACATTCGTAAGTAAAGAGATTTTGTTTTTGAATAAAACTCGCCAGTGCTTAGTAATGTAGTGCAGTGCAGCTTTTACATGAAGCTATTACAAATTTTACCATCAAAGCTCCCTCGCTCATATACCTTGTTTTTGTGTTGTCGCAATTACACAGTCGCTGAAGTTCCCTTCGCCTATTCTGGTAAAAGCAAGAATTCTAAAGCAGTAGGTGGTCGATCGGTTTAGACCTGAACAGTTAAACAAGTGTTAGATACTCCGGAAGTTTTGATAATAAAAGACATAGAATACTTAATATATTTTTGTTTCAGACTTTGTTCTCAAAGGAGCGATTTTGGACAAACTTAATTATTAACTGATTGACCAACTTCCGAAAAGTCAGAGTAAGTTTTCTATCAACTGTTTACCCGATAAGAAACCACTCTCATTCGTTGCTGGGAAACGAAACTCAGCTTTTGATGAACCAGTCATGACTTGCAGTCTGTAGCCAAGAATTACTCCGTTTGAAAAGACTTTTGGGACAGCTAACCAGAATGCTTTTACGGACCAAGGGCTTGTGGGAATTACAGTCAACCTTGACGGTGGCTTGTCGGGTACTGACAAAAACTTGAATCACTTTCCATTTTTCACAATCAACTTAATTTATAACTGCAAATATCATCATAGATGTTATTAGAATTAATCTGTAATAATAACTTTAATTTCTTACCATCTTCGTCGGTGGTCACATATATACAACTACTGGCATTGCTCCTCAAATTCATAATGACCGTCACTATGCGTGCGCAGAACGTGGTATATTTTTTAAGTCCAGTGAATTCTACCCAAGACGCGGTCACATTGGAAATGATTGAATTATATTTTGTTTCTAAAGTTACTTGATAGCTGACATTGTATTCTGGGAGTAGTCGACTCCACGAAACAATTAACGATGTTGAGCTCGTATTGTGAGCAGTGACGTTAGACGGAGGCATGACTGTAAAAAACAAAAGAAATAGAATTGTTTTCAGACTGAACAGTTTTGGAAACAAAGAAAGTCGACATCCTCCATGAACGAACAGTTCGTTCATGCTTCATCTGATGAAATAGCGAGAATTTTGCGCATGCTAGATGTAGCGACGATAGATAGTCATATACAACTTACTATGCAGTAGTAATCGTTAATACCCATTATTCAAATTTCTTAGAAGAATGCATGACATCAGTAATGCGAAATGTTAGACTTCAGTACAGCGTTTGAAGCATGTGCGCGACTGTAAAGCAATATACATATTAAAGCTAATAAAATACTAACTACAATACCTGAGCAAGGCCGTCTATTGGAGCACAATCTAGTTTCGTTCCAACTGCCTAAAGTCTTATTGATGTTTGCCAGAACAACTGCAGGTTTAGCAGAGCAAAGTCTTCGACGAGTCACATGACCCAAACCACAACTTGGATTGCAATGCGACCAATGTTCCCAATTCCCTGGCAAACGGACAGTTTTATTGGGCCAAACGTTTTCGTCTTCACCTGTTAATCATAATAGACATATCATAAAGCAGCAGCTTGTAGCAAAGACATAGGAAAAACAAAGAGCACTTGAATTCCAGCTGGCATTAGAATTAGGAGTGTGGTTGACTTAGCCTACTTCGCAGGCAACTCTACTCTGTGGGATTCCTGTGTTGAGGCAAAAAAGCTGCCGGAGGGAGAGGGGGCTAGGAAGGAAAAGAAGGAGGAGTTGCCTAACTCCTCTTATTTGTTGTTCCTAATCTCTCGAAACCAGTACTTCTCGGTCAAGATTATGAACACAGGAAGACCAAGAAGAGAAAAATGTCCGTTTCCGATGAGTAGCCTGCGAAGGAGGCTACCATGGTTGACTTACCTGGATCGAAGATTAGAAGTTGGTCGCGTGATATAATACTCCTAGTGTGTGCATCTGGTTTAGTCAACATTATCTTCATCCAGTCCTTCCCAACTGCGTCTGTATGTAAAACGTCCAGGAAATACGGCTTGTCTTTGGTTAAATTAACAGCACGGGATGACAATAAGCTGTGGAGTTATTAGTAAGCTAATGGTGATACATTTGGGAATACTACATTAGATCATGTTAGTATTAGCTTCTGTAAGGGGCGATCCATTAGAATTTTGAGGGTTGGGGGATGGGGGGCTGATTAAGTGTATAATTCCCTTGTATGATCAAATAATCTTGTGCATCAGATATTTAACAATTAGTCTTTGATCTTACCTTGTTTCTGCATACATTTCAAATAGCATTTCAGACGAACTATTCAGTCGCAGCTCACACATCCAGTTACAAAGAGCAGTAAAACGATATAAACCATTTTGCGTCACAATTATATACGCTGTTAACCGCTCACCAAAATGCTTCCCATAATCCCTTGGGGCTACGAAAGTGTCCAATGTTGAAGAGTGGGTAGGGTTACCGGGRAATCGTGCGTCGTTTTTAAGATTGTTTATAGATGAAGGAWAGGATATATCGTGCCAGATTTCGTGCTTGACTCCTTTAAATTCTACATATAACAAGATTGTATAGCATGGAATTAATTATACGAAGCACTTTTAATCGGCCCACAGAAGGGTTGTATATTCTAGGCTTCTAGTTTAGAAATCATTTAAGGAAGTGCTTAAAGTTCCCCCGCTGTATTTATTATTTTGATGTGAAGCTTATTCCGTGTGATTTTTGAATTCTTATCAGCCTTTTTTTATCCTTTTATCCGTATTCCTCCATTTTCTTATGTTCACTGGGGGGGGGGGAGCCCCTCCCTGGATCCGCGGAGCCTGATTGATTCAGTCTAGCGTACCTTCATTTATGCAAGAAACAACATCGCAGGTTACCGAGCAACAATCCAAGTAAACAAAAGTAAAAACAGTCACCTGTAAAGGAAAAAAATTGCAATCATGTTTCATCATTTATATCACTCGCCGCATCATCTCCAAATTACATCAACGAATCTATCTTAYTTCAAACTGAAACACTGTGTGCTATTGCAGGATAGAATTTAGTTTTAAAAGATCTTGTTGTCTGTTGATTAAAAACGAACTGTATTCAGACTTTTCAGTCACAACAATCGATGACCTTTTCAATGAAAATTGACAACGTTTTTACGCGCGAACATAATTCTACAAGCATTCTATAAATGACATGAATGTGATTCGATTCTATCATGTATCTTCAGTTAGTTATTGATCTATTCGTTGCCCGAATATTCTGGCCAGGAGTTCACAACCAGGTGAACACTTGCTGACTATGACATCCACCCTGGTTGGTAATTCTGTTGATAATGTTATCATACGACAAAGAAGCAAAAMAGCAAGAAGCACCATCGATTTAGAGGGACAGGGCAAATTATGGAATAAATAGAGATAAGTAAATAAATGGAAATAATTGATTGCAGCAAGCAAGCCATCAGGTAGTCCATGATATTTTGTCAACGATCATAATATCAATAAACTTATKCACAGCTAGTCAAGCTAGCATCAATACTGAGCAAATTTCCAGCACCAGCTAAGAATGTTATAGAATTAGTGAGTCTGGAAACCCATTCTGTGGCATATGATAAAGATGTCTGTCAATCCAGATCAATTGACAACTGAAATTGAAAGCATCGGATAACAACTGATCGACTTACCTGGTAAATTGTGTGCAACATTTCCAAGCAGAAGAACATGAAAGTGGTTTTAACGCATACTCGTAAGTAGCTTCATCAGCAATTAATGGCTAGGTATATTAGTTTTGTTAAGTAAATATTCAATCGATGAATCATATATCGCCGATGTGCGACAACCCAATGTTGACTCAGGCTTCCATCATCGGTAACTAACTCATAGAAAGCAAATACTCTTGCGTTTATTTGAAATTCAGATTTATCATATAAGTAAGTATAAGTAAGAAAAAAGGTACTTTACGACATAATTTGCTTTTGATTTTTACAGATTTTTTTTAAATAAATAAATCATTTTAGGAATACTCTAACAAGCTTGGTAAATTTGGATGGTTACATGGACTATAGTTCCTCAAATAGGGAGAAGGAGTGCAGGGCCTATGTATGTCCGTATTCTTTTGCTCCTCCCATTGAATATCTGATGTTTCGTCATCCTATCAATCAGAATCAAGTCTCTTTGCTTTTTACTTTCGAGCGAAGAAGAAATTTCMCAATTAACGAACGTTATATCAACTAAAGAGATGCCGAAACCGACGAAGCGGAAAGAGGCGAGAGAGATGCCTATAGATCTCCACTCATCAATAGACCTCTGCAGCTTTTACGTCATGTACCGTATACGCAATGCATTGTAGGACATGTTTGGGACAGAAAATGGCGGATTTCTTTTGTTTTCTCAAGAAACTTATCCCACAATGCATTGCAAATCAAGTAGTGACGTAAAAGGTTCACAAGTCTATATTGATATGGCGCACCAGATTTGTCCGCAGACATYACAGATTTTTTTCTGAAACAGAAGGCAAGCGTTTGTTAATCATTTTAATGTATGATAAATAGCATGAATCTCGAGAACAAAATAAGTACATATGCGTAAAAATATATATATTGAAAATTGAGTAGTACGTTATGATCCGCCGCATGCACTTTGGATCCACTCCTCCCCTACATATACATTTTTTATAGAGAAGGAGTGGTGGCACAAGTAGTAATACCCAGCATTATGGAACCTCAACCGCCTCTCCCCCTTAMTTTGAGTCGGTTTCCGTGAAGGCCAACTCGTCGCTTGAAAGTAGAGAGAGAAAGTTGTCTATTGTAACGAATAATGGCTTCTAACCGTTTAACTTTATTGTAATTATGGAAGTTAAACCAGGCAATTATGGACGGTACAGTAAAAACCCGCGTATAAGAACATAACATTTAAGAACCTGTTAGACTACAATTTCATTTTTAAGCACCCCGGCTTCACATATATAAGAACCATTTTGGGCTAAAATTCTCATGGTTCTTATTTTGAAAAAAGGAAAAAATAATCTTCTCAAAATATAGGAAAAAATATATTTATAACACAGTCTGTACACATTTGATAAGGCAAATTCCAATCCTCTGTCAGTGAAAATTTGGAACTTTATCATATTATGTTGTTCTGTATACTAGGAATTATAGTGAAGGTTACAGAATAGGTTTGATTTTAATAGTAGTGTMGTATATTGCTTATTTCTTTGGGATTTTTGTCGGTGTCAAGCCACGACATTCGACGTGATCAAGAAGAGGTGTCCGCATTTCCAGCTAAAACGGCTCAGTATATTTGAGAAACCTCTGATGTCGTTTTTTCCCCTTTCACATATGTTACATTTTTTTTCCAAGTAGCCTTCTTTTAAGATAAATAGAAATTGGGGTTACCGGGTTCGTTGTCGAGATATTTCGTGTCAAAATCTAAGATTTTGCAGGCCATCTTGAATTGCGAGAGATTTTTTTCTGCCAATCTACGACTTTTTAGAGAATTTTCAACACTTTTTCACCTCATCAATTCTTTAGCAGTAGCAAATCTCCCAATTTTTTGAACGTGAAGACATTTTTCATACAAGCAGAAGTTCAGAAAAGTACGTACAAAACCTCACAAACATATAACAAGAGCGGTCGCCATCTTTGTTTTCCGGTTTTGTCGAGCGCCATGCCCTCGAACGTCCTTTAGAACCTAGTTAGCCTAATTTTACACTAAATACCATTTATAGAGTGGTTTTCGTTAACCCGTGAAACATAGCGTATTTATCGCTATTACACTTTGGCTCTTTTGTTTTTTATTGTCTCTACGCGAACATGTATTATGATCTATTACACTCTAATTATTACACTTTGTTTCACGGGTTTATGAAAACCACTCTATATATAACTTGAAACTAACCTAGGTTCTTATACGCGGGTTTTTACTGTATAYCAGACAATTATGGACGTTCATATACGAATGCGTTCTTTTCACTAGTGAAAATTATAACAACTTTTTGAACGAGAGGCGGAAATATGGGTTTCATAGATAATTATATAATGAACAAATATAATCTTATCAACTACGAATCTATTAATGAATAAGACCGTACGTGGATGTACGAGCTGTCAGTGCTTTTACATTATGATGTTTGTATTTTATATGATTTATATTCCTAGTCGTATTTTTATAAAATAAGCCATGATGTATTAGGAATGGCGTCTTCTAAATTSCAATTTACGTCATTRCTTATGCCTACGTCATTCTWATAACGACATAAGCTCAGTCASGCAGATTGTTGTTGTGTTTTTTTTGAAGGCCAATACTARTATGATCACGAAATATGAGATAAACTAAGTACCMAAATAAACATGAACCTGGGACTACCTCGATTTTGTTCACGGATCTATTCCAATAACATTTCGTAATGTATATAGGATTTAATTGTGCAAGCAGCGGTCCCACTATCATGCTTGATTGCTTTTGAGTGTATAAATCTGAAAACTGTACAAATACAAACCAACATAATCTTGACAAAATTGCTTGTTATAGATACTACACAATATAAGTAAAAGCCTAATAAGCGTAACAGAGAAATACAAAAAAATGTTATATCTTAAGTTTTTCTCTGTGACACAATGATACACACGACTAGTTTACTCGCCGTTGCCATAACAGTGCCAAATTCTACTGCCATCTGTCCCCAGGGGAGTAATATTCATAATATCAGCCAATCATATTACAGAAATCGCTATGAAGTGRTCCTTTGTGGACCCTGGTCGTATTGTAAACACTTGAAGAAATCGTAGTTACATTTCATCCCCACTTGGGGTCCAAAACTCTGTCGTTCTTTTAAATCACCGTTAAGCGAAGAATCTTCGACTCGTAGACTCAATACAGTCAAGTTGATTTTAGTATTTTWACTCCGATAATGGGTTGTTGTGGCAAGAGAACTGGCGATGAAGACCAAGACATTGAAATGAAGGAGAAAGGAAAGTGGGGTAAGCTCTTTCATATACCGTTGAGTAAACTTATATTTCAGGGAAACTTAATCAATAACTGATGATATTTAAAAAGATSTTTTCACAGCATAAAAATTAGGTTAAGAGTATCGATAAAAATGAATTTTCAAGTTTGTCGGCGCAATTTGCCATATCCTAGGCGACGAAGCGCTCGCTTTACGTATGAAATACGAATGGAAAATAAGTTTATTCCCAATAAACTTACCAAAAATGTATTATTTCATGAATTAATGCACTATTTCTATCTTTATAGAGGAACTCTCTATTTTCTGAATGCAGTGAAACGTATATAAACTAAAATAACTTCGTYGAAAGTTTTGGACGAACTGAAGCAGACCGCAAATCCGCTCATCAGGTCGACCTTTTGGATTCACGAAATCTGTCAAATGCCGGCTACTCGCCTTGCGAAATTGTTGATAACTTTAAAGAAAATACTGCTTTCATAACATTATTTCCTTCGTATTTCATTGTCAGAGAATAACTGCTCAACTTTACGACTATACAAAAGAGTAACCAGATAAARCTTTTAGTAAGAGCAATTTAAGCTTAACTTTTTGTCGGTTGGGTCAAGTAATATGAGAACGAGGAAGTAGAATTTTTTTAGACAGCTACAGTTAAATGCATACTTAAATTTTTATTTAGGAAAGGCATTGACCATGTATGTAATTTTTATGATCTTGCATTTATCCATCGGACTTCTCACTTTTTCGTAGCCTGTATAAGCTTTGTATTATCAATACATTGGATCTAGCTTATGTTAATTTTCAGGCAAAGCCAAAGAATTTGACCCAAGTTTTAATGGTCCAATCAAGAACAGAAGTTGTACAGATATACCATGCTGTATTCTATTTGTGCTTTATGTTCTTGGCATGCTGGCACTTGGTGGAGCAGGTAAGTTAAAGTTTTACCAAGTTTTTATATAGAACTGTACAAATATATTGGGTTTATCAAATATCTATTTTACAAACAGCAGAAGAAAAGGCATGCAATTTTACAGTACAAACATTTTGACAGTAAACAAATACCAAAACCAATGGCTACATCATGCTGTAGATGTAAATTACACCAATTTTTTCATTATATATCTGTTTTTCATTCACAGCTTTCTATATGGGAAATCCATACAAACTGCTCAATTCTGTGGACTCATTTGGAAACATTTGTGGATATACTGCTGGTTTTGAGTAAGTTGAAACTCTGCAAAAGAGTATTTAAAATATTAGTTGACCTTCAGTCACACACAACATATAAATTTGCAATTATAATTATTACTGTATACGCTAATTTATTATTTGTCAGTTATGATGTTATGATGATACTAATGTAAGACTTTGAAATAAGTATATTTTATGATTATATATATTAAATCACTTGATTAAAAAGAAGCTATAATTAATGAATGCCATTAAACGGTGACATAGTGTGAACTATAAATGAAGTTAATAAAACAGAGGCAAGGTTTACTGTGGCTCTGAGTTTCGTGCYG